GATTGACGAAAATAGGGGTTATACATAAGAAATGTTTTTTTATTGCAACCAGCATATCGAGGCACCAAGACAATGCTGTCACTGCAGTCACGAAACTTTACCCTGCACTGCAATGCAGTGGCAAGCGCCGCGGAAAGACGATGCACACAAATGTAAGATATTATTACGCATATCAACGGGGAAATATTTGAAAGTATAGCTAGAACAAAGCTGGCAAGGCATCGGGATATTTGTACGGGGCTGACTGGGATCGCCTGCTATGACCAGTTAGCCAGCCAGTGCAGCGCCGTACTGGTGGTGTCGGTTTCCTATTATCAAATATGTCTTCCGTATGGATAACTATTTTGCTGATGTTGTCTTTCGTTGCTCAAAGTAGGCCGTGAGGAAGTTACTTTATCGCTCGGGCTCCTTCCAATGCATCCATGATGTATGTGCACTCGATACACATTGATACTACAGCAACTGACTCAATGTACTTCTTCTAATTGTATTCACATGCAGCATCCACTTCGTCTAAACTTAGCTAACTTGCGTTTGAGTCAAAGCCACCTTAAATGTGCCCCAGGCTGCCTTTTCCCGCAGCGGATAGTCTAGAAGCAATAAAAAGGCGCATGCACTATCGAAGCATCGTATTGTTGACAGATTTTGCGCTATTCAGGCCCCTGCGGGTCATAGCATAAAGGGGTGGTTTAGCAATCCAGCTGAGCTGCTGAAATGCTGAAAGATCCTTCATATGTATATATTTTAGTCACACCTGAAGCCACTGTACCCTTCTCTCTTACCCTACGGAGAAAATCAACTGTGTAACAGCTTAGCTGGTTGCTCCCATCTCAATACTCAGACACTTGCGCGGTACTAGTGCGGCTTGATACCCAGCAATTGTTTACAATGCGTTGAGATACGAAGCCAGATTTGCATGCACTTTCTTCTTAAGGGGAAACTCCATATCTTGCTTTAAAATACTCTCAGTTCAGAGCTGCTTTTCTAGGCAGGCCCATACACAACTAAATCTCCACATGCTTTTGTAAGCTGCCGGAAGATACATGAGTCAAACTTCTCGAATATTCGAACAATACTGATGCAGGTAACTGCATGAGGAGAACATGACTGGCAAACTCATGCATCTACAGCTCATCACTGCCATCAAAATGCCACTAATCTGCGTCAATCAAGGCTGTATTGAGACAGAAGCTGTTCAGCTAGCAGAGAGAATAGTACAATGTGCCGGGAGTGACGGCGCGCGTGTTGTCTCAATAGCCAGCATGTTTACTCCCTTCATCACGTCTGCATGTAACAGTTAAATCGCATTAGTGCAGCTGCAGCATTGGAGTACTGCGAGTACTATGAGCTTACGTCAAAACTCACGTAGCTCTTCAGTGAGAGCTGGAAGTCTACTAGCTCCGTAGTTTATCCAGCACAGAACGTGCTTCGTTTGAGCTTCTAGTCACACACTCTTGCAATGTATCTCCTTCCCAAATCGATCCAACCACCCGACAACAACCACGACATCTCTTCAGGGAACTTTCCGCAGCAAAGTTTAGCATGGCAGGTAAAGCTGTAACCCAGTTTATAGAGTACTTTTCTTCAAATTTGAAGATTACGTGTGCTATCCTGGTTGACGAACGTACTGACAAGTCTTACCCAGCTTATTGCCAGTGTCTGTCTTAATATAAAGTATACAGCAACATCTTCTAGCTCATCAAGCGTCTATTCACGCTGCAAAGCCCAAATTAGTTTAGGCGTGTGCTGCTGTGTATGGTGACCCCGAAGTCAAATCATTCGGGTCGCGCTGCTACACGATCTTTTGCACACCTCTACAAACACGAAATGCTTTTTCACCCCGTACACCATCATCATTACTTACAGGACTCTAGAGCCCAGCATTTCGCTTGGCAACCTATGGGCTGCTCGAGTGAGCACAAGCATCTCCTTCGGGACCATGCTGCACAGCAAGCTGGCATCCTCGTTGAGCACGATTGCAGCGACCTCAATCATTTCAGACAATTTATTTCACTACAGGAGTCTTCATGGCGCAAGAAATTTTTGCTGCCAGCGCTGTGAGCTTGAGCAGACTTGAAATTGTTGCAGCGTCTATTCGCTAGCCTCGTTAGAGAGCTTTTCACCCTGTGGCGCTGCCTACCTTTCCTTGGGCGGTATTCTTGATGACCCTGTTTACCCCGCACCACTCAGCTACTTGTATGGAGCTGTTTTCTTCTCACTGTTCCGTTCACTCGATAGGGAGACCTCTCAGAAGTTCCAACTCCTCATTTATCAACACCGCACATCAATCACATGCAGCTGCATTATGATCCTAGACCCTCTCCGTGAAAAGAAAGAAACGTCTTCCAAATCTCTGCAGAAATGCCTACGTGAAATCTTCAGACTGAGATGAATTCTGGAGAGCAAGGATGCTTTCATGCAAATGCGTGTGGATATCAAGACAGACGCTAAAGGCTTTGCAGCCCTTGGATTTGCATACGGGAACAAGGGGCCCGTATTACTCGACGACAAGTATATTGGCGGGAGCCATCGAATAAAAAATAAGGGGCCTGCGGCAGGAAGCAGCAACGTGCAGGGGAAGGGGGTTGATGCATGCTGACGAGCTACAATTATTTTAGGAAAACCTACAAAAAGTAGAACTGTGTATTCGCTACAGAGAGAAAGAGGTTCAAGCGCTAGACAGGCAGCTTTTGGAGTTGCAAACCGCAGGCAGAAAAGTGCCCCAAGGATATCAATTCAATGAAACATTGTAGGAGCTCAAAGAAAGCAAACCAAAACTCGCAACCTTTTGAAGACAAGAAAGTAGAGAGAGAGTACCTGTATCAGGAGCTGTAGGCACTTGAACGCTAATACCCTCTCTTGATCCCTTCGTACGGGGCCGCCGGAAAATTCATGCCAAGCTGAATCCGGAGGCAGCAACACTGCAGCAACACTGTTTGCAGCCTCTCTGCTTGCATTGCAGCACTGTCTTCCCATGAGATGCTCGGTTTTAATCAAAAGTGTCTATGGCACCTCACGCACGCAACGATGGACAAGCGATGTTTTTATCATGAGAAGAGCAAATGAGCTGCGGCTGCGTGACACACGGCAAACGCTCGACAGCACCAGAATACGATCTTTGCGCATAAGTGACAGAGCGGCATGCTTACGGAGCAAGCCACTCTTAAATCACATAAGCCACCTGAAATGAAATGAAACAGAGGCGATACTCCCCACATGTGGCAGCCGGATGCTGGCTTAGCCCTTTGGGGCCATCCTGACCTCTCCCCGTTTCGGAGCAGCAATGTTTATAATCTTCAGTGCTCGCTTCGAGTCCAATCACATGCACATGCGCTTGCACTTTTTCATCTGCCCTTACTCTTTGAGCCGACGACAGGCAACAGCCATCTGACGCTACCTTAACCGGCCGGCGTCACAGCTCCTTACGGCTTGTAAGGAGTGCAGATGCAAGGGCGTCACCTAATGGGCACTGAACCTTCTATCCTGCATCAGCTATGTTCTAGCACGGGATCAGAGCCAACGAAGCTCCAATTTACAAAAACACACGGCATGAACCGGTTAGGAAAAGTTAAACCCAGGCGCTCGAGTTAAAGTGCGAAGTCATGTCTGCGCTTTTGGGGTCCTTAGTAGGGGTCGGAGCAGGGAACCTGCGAGCTCGCCTGTGTTCAATTGCTGAATCCGCCTGCATTCAGGATATCATTGTCTATTTCTGTATCTTTCTGTTTTGTTTTCGACTCCACCACTTTCTCTACACTCCAGTGCGTGCTGTGGACTCCATCTTTTCTACACTCCAGTGCTTGCTGTGGACTCCATCTTTTCTACACTCCAGTGCTTGCTGTGGACTCCATCTCTGTCCTTACACTGTTTGCTTGCTGTGGCCTGCGCTTGCATCTCACATACCTCTACGGAGGCAACTTGCCTGTGCACATTGCTACGCAATGTGTATGTGACGTACGTTTATTAAATGCACGAGCAGGCATGGCACTCACAGATGTATAACTGTAGAAAAGTCCTTGGTGACACTGCGAGTACACAAGGGCAGCCAGACAAAAAGTCAAAGCACAAATAAGCCATAATCACGTATGTGCACATTTGAGTAAATGTGAATATAATTGCATGTATACGTAGTTTCTGATCTTTAATAAAATACGAAAAGATGCGTATTCGGACATACTCATGTTTTCCATGAAAGACAACTTCGACACATATAAATGTAGTCATTGCGAGGTGAAAGTGGGGGTGTTACAAAGACAAACTAGTTAAGAACTAAAGCCGGCTAAGTGGCAAGTTACACACCCTTAAGCAGATGATGCAACTGTAAGTCCCGTTCTCAAGGCTGTATCGCCTCTTCGCCTTCACCATACAAAAACAAAAAAAAAAGCGGAAAACCGACAGCATCGTTTTCATTGGGAGCATGCACTAAATGGAAATATGCATGCATGCATACACTGCAGACATATATATACCAATGTGGGCACTCCGCAATGCGTACATGCATTGCTTGTATGCATGCATGCAAACGTGCGCCCATGGCAGTATGCACATTTGCGTGCAAACATTTCTGCATGCATGCATAGGGACGTGACTGCATGAACGCATACGCACACAGCAATGCGTCCACTCACGCAATCGCACGTGCGTGTGCGTATGAAGACTAGAGGGCTCGGAGAGGGCTCCGGCTCCTCTTTGCTGTTGCTGTGTAAGTACAACTCCACTGTCTAGCTATACGTTTATATAGTGTTTCAATAAGAATAGCAATAATTGTTCCAGCTTCCACTATTATTTTTTCCATGGGAAAATCAGCACCGCCAAAACGAACAACACGGCGACCCACACGCCTGCTGTTGCTCCCGCTGCTATGGCTAGGCTTCTGCTGTTTGTGTTGCTGGCATGCTTGCATTCGCTGTTGCTTCTCACGCTGTTCTCTGTTGCTAGTGCAGCTGCTGTGATGGCAGCTGCTGCTAGGGCTGTGTCTGCTCTGCAATAGGACCTCATGCTGATCATCCTCGTGGAGCGCTGCTGGTGCTGCTGGTGCTGGGACTGCTGCTGCTGCCTCCACTGCTGCTAGTGCTGGTGCTGTTGCTGCTGCTGCTGCTACCTGGCGTGTACAGTAAGTTGCTTTCCTGCTCTCCAGCAGCTTGAACTTGGAGCATCTCTATCTCCTCTCCCACTGTTGGTATTTGTCTGTATGCATGTTTTCTGCTGTTCCTCCTTGTTAATTCCTTCTCCGTCTCCCCATCTGTCTCCCCATCTTCTCCCTTTGCTGCTGTTGCCGCTGTGATGGCCGCATGAAAAGACATTGCCGGCATAGCATGAACATTCCTGAGCTCCATCGTCCTATTTGTCCTTCTACTTCCCAAGCTTTCCTCCCTCAATTCCCCTTTTTCCCCCTTACCCTCAATATCTGTCTCTGCATCTGTTTCTGCTTCCGTTACTGCTTCTACTGGGGCCAAAGAGACAGGCGGTGGCGGCTCATTGAGCGGATATGAAGGCAAAAGAAGCGCGGCAAGAGGTAGCGCGAGGAGTGGCAGCAAAAGATGTGCCAGTAGAATGAGATGCGGTAGATACTGGAAGTCACATTGGGTTTCTGGTGTATGTACAGTGGAGATTTTGAATGCAGAAATAGCAAATGCCCCCATCAGCTTGCTCAAACTAAAACCCAAGTTGCTCAGCCCAGAAACCACTGCGTACACAGTAGCTTCCCGCCCCACAGGGCACAGCTGAGACACGGACACAACGGCTCCCATGTGGGTGAGAGCCCCTATCAAGCCAAACCCGATGCCGTCCCCCAGCAGGTACATCACCTTGTCTGGTACTCCTATCGCTTTATTCAAGCGAAGCACAAGAGCCAAGTCAAACAACGAATCGAGGATTCGCAAGCTGTTCGTAAGCCAGAAAATAGACCTAAGAGTAACACAAACGAAAAAAACAGAAAGCGCATACCCCGACTCCCAAGCATCTAAAAGGATGAGCAGAAAAATGGGAATTGTTAGTGTCAGTAAAGTTAAACGCTTTTTCGCAACCTTAAACTGTATATCGGTAAGCTCCTGTTTCAGCCTCATAGGGCCCCTTCGTTTCACGCAAATCATCGACCTAAATGCTCAACGCTCGGCTTGTTACCTGCAGCTCCAATTCTTGAACCACTTTTGGAAGGCCCATATGCCTATCCAGCTGGCTGTTGTGCCTGCTACTGCAGTGTAGGTGGAAAAATAAGTATAATTGAAGTGGGGTCCTTCAGGGACGCAACCAGGCGCAGCCGTGTAGAAGTAGCTGAGCGCTCCCTGTATATTTAGATGCAGCAGACGGTCGATAAAGAAATAGAGGGCACAAAGTGCCAGCCGCCGTGGCAAGAGCAGCAGAGAAGCACCCGCCAAGGCACACAACACACAAACGGTGTACGCAACCGATAAAGAGACAAGCTCAAGCAGCACGAGCAAAGCAGCTCCGCAGGCACAAAGAGAGGTCAACAATGCAACAACAACAACCCCACCCTGTCCTGGCTGAGGCACAACCTGTACCACGTTGCTGCAGCATCCGTTGCGAACCCTGCACGCTCCTCTGCTGCAGCTGCAGCTATTGCTGCAGCTGCTGCTGCTGCGGGTCAGTTGAAGCTTTGGCTCCCCAGTGAAATTAAGCAGCACCGGAAAGAAAGACTGCAGGGCCAAAGGCAGGCAGAGGCAAAAAAGAGGCCCCGAGCCCCAGGCGTCACTAAGGGGCCCCACAAGCAGCCTACCGAGAAGGCCCCCAGTAGTGGTGCACAAGTTCACAAAGCCTACCAATGCAAACCCCAAATTTGGGTTTGCGCGGAGTGCCGCGGAGTACAAACCTTCGCACAGGAGGTCAATCGTTGCCATCTGCAAATGCAGACCGAAAAATGGGAGGGACAACGCCAGCAAACCGACTCCACTGCTGCTGCTGCTTCTGCTGCCGCTGCCACTGCTAGGCTCCAACAACAGCCAGCAGCAGCAGCTGACCCCCACAACATTCGAAGTAAGCATGTACCATTTCTTGCGCCTGCGAAATAGAGCCACGTTGTCGCTGAGGGCCCCTAAGAGACCCTTCGCTCCCCAAGGTAAAAGTGAGAGGGTCAGGGTTTGCTGATAAACCAGAGCGTCTAACCCCTTTTCTCTCATGTAGGGAAGCAGCGACTCAATCGAAACAGACCAGAGAGCCCCCTTGAGGCCCCCAAATACGCTAATTAGGAGTACCACAAACTCTAACCCCAACCCCTCGACCAACAGCCCGTAACTGTCGAAGATACCCCATAAAGGCATCAGGCTTTTCCTCAGGATTAGACGGGTTAACAGACGGAGAGGGGACAAAAGACGACCCAGAGAGAAAACCATTGTGCCGCGCCTCCTCCCTCGTCTGTTTTCGCTGTTGCTGCTTCTGGTGCTGCTCGCTTTCGGGTTCGAGACTATTGGATGTTTGCAGCGCAGGGGAGGAAGGGCCTCATGTTGTCTTCTTATCTTTGGCTCTCTGTCTCCTTTCAAACAGGTCAGTCGCCTGTTTGCTTTCTTGTCTGCTTGTCTGTATACCTTTATTCGTTGGTCCCTCCATAACTAACTACTCGGGGTTTACGGGCACAGATGAGACAAAAAAGCGACGGAAAGATGGGGAAATTTAGGGGGCCCCTAGGCTTGTTTGGTTCCCCTTAACACTTACAGTGTAAATACACTTCTAATCTTCAGAAGAAACCACGAGTGTGGAGGTGTAAGTCCAGCTTGAAACAGAAGGTTGTTGCTGTTGTTGATGGCCCTGGGGCACGAGTTTGCGAGCTGCTGCCGTCGCGCCGATACGGTCTAGGTTTCGTCTTGGATTTCAGGCTTTTTTGACCTCTAAAGAGTAATTGGAAAGTTTCTTTTCGGTTTTATTTACTCAAGCAATACAAAGAAGGGGACGAAAAGTGCGCATCGGACACCCGCTTGATGGGCCAGAGGCCCCCGGTGTTCGTTGGCGCTGGAGCATATACGCGGCGCAAAAGTACGGGAGAACAACAGCAAGCTTTGAGTTCAAAAATAAAAACAAATTAAAATGCTTCAACAATTTGTAATTGCCTCAAAAGACTAGGGGTCACAGCGCCTACGTGGATGCAGACAAACACAACAAGCCAGGGGGCCCTTGGCGCTCGCGCGCGCTAGACAGTAAGGGTTGTATGTGCATCTCGACGACAAAAGCTCAAAAAACTGAGAATTAAGTAGGTTGGATATTTTTTACCGATTATATGATTCAGAAGCCAACCAGAAATGTAAGCTACAGGCTCTAGTTAGTCGCATGCAGGGAGGGTCTCTGTGTCTGTCCCCCGTCTCTCACGTTTTCCGTTGAAATTACCTGTTTAGAATGCATGTTAACTTCATTCAGCCGCTTATTTCCATTTACTGGAATAGCCTGGGCGTCGGGTGAATGCGTCAGCTTTCTCTGACGCGTTTTGGGCGTCACTGGCCTCACTACTTAGAGTTGTGTTCATTAGCAATACACTACCACCTATCTATAAAGCACCATACAGCATACGCACCTATAGGACTCGCGCTGCACTCTTTGTGGACTTTACACCACGTAAATGAATGCCGTTTCAGTCTACGGCTGCCTCAGCGTACGTCAATGGCTTTGGCATGCTCAGTTCCGCGGCTGAAATGCCAAACCAAACAAACAAAAGCTTACCTGTACTTCTACTCGGGTAAATGATCACACTTGACAGGCTTCGTAGCCGTGGTACCCCGTAGGAGTGCTTGCCGTTTCTTGCTTGAGGGGCCCCGGTGCCTCCCGTCAGGGCCATCCTCTTCCCGTCTCTTTTCATGGTCCCTTCTCGGGCTTGCTCGCGAACATCCCCTTACTCGTATGGCTTTCGTCCGAAGCCCTCAAAGAATTACAACAATATTTCGCATCTTGTCAGTTATTTAGCGCTTCGTTGCCCAAAGCGCTTTAAAATGCCTTCAGAGAGCTAACAGAAAAACGAACCGGTAAAAAGCTGGCACCACAGGGCTCACTAAAACCTGTGGTTGTTGTACTGTTCCTTTGGTCCTTAATTGGTGTCCGAGCCTTTTAAGGGCTTTCAGTGATCGGCTGATATAGACTCTACAAGGCGCTTATCATTACCGTCTCCGGACACGCATCTCCTTCAAACGGAAAACATAAACATAAATGGCCCCCTGGGTGCGCCAACGTTACGTGGAAAAGAAAAGACAAACTAGACAGTGGTGCCTGCGCATCACTTTTCCTTTCAAAGCTCCATCGTCTTGGCTATCTGCTTGTTTGTTTCGGTTTCCACATCTCCCTGCCTCCTCACCACTCTGTCCTCCTATCTTTTTTCGGTTTGCCCTTTCTTTTGTCAACTTCGCATGCCTCTAATTGTGGTTGTTTGTGTTGATAATCAAGCTAATATATCTCTGTCTATTTCTTTGTCTCTGCTGCTTTGTCACCATTTAATAGCCCACGTCCTTCACTTCCTTTGTCTCTATTCACTTCTCCCAATGCGGCGTTCCGCCTCTAGCCGTCTGTGTAACATTCTGTTTCTGCTGATTTTTGCTCTTCCTTTACATTATTGTGGCAAAACGTCTCCAAGCAGGTATGCCTTACACTCCGTCCCGTTCCATATCTTCGCACAACAGTAAGGAAAAAAAGTGGCATTACAAACCTTTATTGCCGCTTTTATCATGACTAAAAGGGTGATGCACTTGGATGAACGTCATTTGTGCCCGTTTCTTTTTCATCCCTCCCACCTAACCCAGAAGGCTGTGGCTTTGTCTCCCACAAGCGCAAGAGGCACACATCCATTGACCCAGACAGCCGAAACTTCACCTTGCTCACTGAATCACCTGCTGCTGTTCTATCGCTGCTGCTGCTGTTGTTTTCTGCAACACCGGCGGAAGCAACAGAAGCACCGACCCTGCACATATCAGATCGCCAGGGCGGCTCCACGGGGCCGGACGCAGCAGTGGCGCTGCCGCTAGAAGCTTGCCTGCACCTTGGAAACGAGTGTTCATCTTGGTTCTGCTTCTGCACGGCTTGCTGGCTCATCACTAGCATGCGTTCCAGCAACAGCTCCTGCCGTGGCACGCCGTTGACAGGAGTGCGAGGCTTTCGTGGACTGCTTCCGAAGAGGCTTTGCCCAGAGGCGACAGCAGCAGAAGCAGATACCGCACTAGCAAACAGTGTAGTAGCAGGAGAAGCTACAACAGAAACAGGTGCACCAACAGCAGAAGGTGCTGCAGGGCGCAAGCCAAAGGACTTCGGAGACGGAACGCAGCTAAGCAAAGAGAGACTCTTGTGCTGGCACCCCTTTCGGGCTTCTTCTGCGTTGTACGCACCAGCTTTGTTGCCTCTGCTGCTACTGCTGCTGCTACCGCTTCCAGCTGCATCGCGCTGAGGGAGCTCACAGGGAGCACACAGTGTTTCGATGCCCCGAAAGTCAACCTGCTGCAACAGCAGCTCTTGCTCCTGCTGTTGATGCGACTGCGGCTGCGCCTTCTGATATCTATGCTCTCCAATGCCCCAGTCTATCAAGTGGCGGCGCCGCTGCTGCTGCTTCTGCTGGTGCTGGTCGTGCTGTTGCTGCTGCTCCCACGGTTCTTCCTCTTGAGGCAGGAGTGGTTGTCCCCAAAGGTCTGTGGCGTGCTGCTGTTGCTGCTGCTGCTGCTGCTCCTGCTGCTGCGAAAGAGGCACTTGTGCTGCACTACAGGGGTCGAAGCACTCATCTCTCGTGTCAGCTTCAGCTGCTCCTTTAGGCTTGCTTCTCACCACCTGAAAAACAACAGCCGCAGCAGCGGCATCAGCGGCAGAGCTATGGAAACGCAATACCAATAACTGCAAAAAGAGATGCACTCACCAAATCTTCGTGGAAAGAATCACGCTGCCTTTGATGTTGCTTCTTCTGGTGCTTCTTCTGGTTCTTATGTTGCTGTTTCTGCTGCTGCTCTTGGTTCTTCGGCCTTTGCTGTTTTCTTTGCTGCTGCTGATCCTGCAGCAATTGAACCAGTCCCCCCGGGGTTTCAAGTGCAGCGGCAAGCTGCTGCGCTGTGGGCCTCTCCCAAGGACGGATGGAAAGCAGGCACCGCAACAGCGCCATTAGCTCATCCGAGTACCTGGAGAAGCAATGCCGACAGCAGGAATGGCAGCAACAGCAAGAAGGGCACACATCATTCGCAAACAAAAGCACCGACGCTGAGAACTCGCCGCATTGCTCTCTTGCTGCTCGTCACGTGCACCTCTTCGGCCTATATTCTTTATAGAGACTATTCCATCGTGTGGCATTCAGGCTTTAGATATCAGGGTTCATGGGTACTTGTGGCCTGGAGGGATGCTGTAGGCCCCATTGCTGATAGCAAGCGCAGAAGCGCCTTCGAAGGGGTGCCGGTAAAAACATAAAATAAACAGAACACAGCCCAGCATCTGCAGTAGAGCAAAAACAGCAGATACGAAATCCGTGGAAAGCTGTCAGCACCAGGGGAAACACCGAAAGCAAAACCCATGGGGCTGATAGTGCATTTGTTTCAGAGCTGTCGCTGCTGTGGTACTGCGACGGCAGCCATGCTGCGGGCTGCAGGCTGCAGTAATTCGGTAGTATTGCTACAAGGTCTTGCAAGCACGCTAATTTTGTAAAAAGTTCAGTTTTAGGCCTACCCAGATATCTGCGGGGGGTCCTATAGGGTACTCAAGATACAGATCGACCATCTCAGGGGCCCTGTGATGAAAAGAACAAGCAGCAGCATTTTGCAGCTGCTCCAACAGTGCGCACCTATCGAAGTACCTCTGCCACTGCCACAGCTGCTGGTGCTGCTGCAAAGCAAGTGCAGCAGCAGCACCAGCAGCACACTCAGCTGCAGTAACCACCATACCAGCAGCGGAACCTGCAGCAGTTTCACCGAGGCAAACCCTTGCAAAAGCAGCCATAGCAGACCTGTAAGCTAACGTCGATTGTTTCTCGATTCGCTCAGCCAGCTGTAGCTTCTCCTTCCTTCCTCCTATGCTGGGATCGAGGATGCCGCGCAGGCAACTCCCGAAGTCGCAAACTCTAAACACCCCCTCTAATCCCTCGGGCACCTCGCGCAAGTCGGGTGTGTTGCCCGTGGCGCGTGCCCACAACCCTCCCAAAGAGAATGCAAAGAGCCCCGTAGATTCTTCTAAAGAGCTTCTAGCACCCCAAGACGGACTGGGAGGACCCCATAAGATATTCTCTGCCTTCAAGTCGCAGTGAACAATGGGAGGGGTTTGGGTATGCAAGTGAGCCAGGCCTCTGCATTTGCAGGCATTAAACCGACACACATTATCTCCAGAATAGCAGCTACGGACCCTAGTGTTTCTACCCCTGATCTCAAACGGTGGGCCTTCCTAGCCCCTCCTCGGCACAGGGCTATATCCACAGGCAGCGTCAGAGCTGTGGGTAGCGAGCCCGCTCTTTGCCATGTAATAATCCCTCACCTAGAAACATGCAGGAGGACGCGCCTGATGACGTCTTCATGCAAACCTTCTTGTGGCCTTTGTGTCCGCTGCAGCAAATCAATGAGAGTGCCCCCGCTGCAGTACTCCAGAAGGAGCAGCACCTCACCAGGGCCCCCAGATAGGCCCTTCGGGGACCCCACAAGGCTGCCGTGATACTTCACTAAATTCTCATGATGCGGCAAGGACTCCTGCAGCCACACACGAGACACAAACGGAGCATCTTAATTCCTCTCGGACTATGTTCTCAAGCCTAACCCTTATTAGTGCAACCAAATGTATCCATCGCCTGCAGCACTGGCCCCTCAAGCACCCCTGGAGTCTTTGGCAGGCCCCATTACGGGTCTCAAGAGCTCCTTATAGAGCCTCATGTGGTCTCTGAGGCCCAATGTGGGGCTCTCTGGGGGATGCTGCGACCCATGGAGGCCAGGGGCAGTATATGAGCCCGCCGGGAAGCACGTAAGGCCCCCGAAGGCCCCCTGGGACTTTGGAATTCCCCTGATTCCCCTGGATGATTGTGTTTGTCTGTTCACAAGCAGATGCATCTCCTTTGCTGCTATCTCGAATCCCTCTCTATCTGCAAACGGTAGCCGTTTCAGTGCGAAGAGTTCTCCCGTTACAGTGTCCTGCACCAAAGAGACGTAGGCGTAGCCACCTGCGGCAAAAATCAGCAGCAATGCAGTTCTCAGAAAAGTCAGAAATAGCGGAAACTGCGTCAGCCTCTGAGACATCGGAGCTTTATTTCAGGCGCTCACATAGGCGCGGCAGCGGTTGCAACAGCAGCCGCAGCAACTACAGCTGTGAGCTAGTCCAGTAGACGCTATACAGCGGCAGCAGCAGAAGCCACAGAAACAAACTTGGAGCAAAAACCTGAAGCAGAGGCAGTAACAGCTTGCCTTCAGCTAACTGTTTCTCAATGCGCAAAGTTCGTCCTCCTATCTCAATTTGATTTTTTGAGTGGAACGTATGTTGAAACAAATGGCGCAGAGACTGCATCCTCTGCAGCAGTAACTGCTGCTACGGAAGACAATAGTGCAGCTGGTTTGCCTTTTGCTCGTTGAACTGCTCTCCCGTTGCTGCTGCGGTGCATTGGTACACATCCTTCAGCAGCTGTAAACAGCAGGAGCGTGAGCAGCAATCTTGTTGCAGCTCTCTAGAACCGATGAGCTGGCTTATTCGGTAGTTGAAGGTCAATGTGAGCCCCACACGGAAGGCAGGTAACTACAGAGACCTAGGATTGCTGAACAAGATGTAGAGCGTCGGGTCCGCGTTTTCGAAGTCATAGAGTTTCTTATACAACTCACATTGATGTCATAATGTGGCAATCATCCCGCTGAAAATATGTTTATTTGGTTCCTGAATTTTGCACTTGACTTTGTTCATCCAGTTTCGAGCGCTGCAGACAGGCTTAAACACCGGATGCTCAAATCATGAGCAGCAGACAGCCACCAGCTGCTCAACACAAAGGCTGCCCTTCCTCTGGGGCTAACCCGCAAAAAATGTTCCTAATGAGTAAACTTTATGCCGTAATTTTAATTTTTGTTTATGAAACTTTTGATCCTTTAGGGCTGCCTTTCTCTAGGTCCCCATTCTTCGTTGACTGCTCTGGGCGACAGGGCCCATCAAAACTGCAGCCTATGCCTCTGCGGCTTCAGCCTAAGTATTTGGCATTAGCTTTCGTAACAGTAAGCGCTTCCGCTTAAGACTAAGCTGTTAATTTTAAGTGTTAACTTTAACAGCCCACTCTCATTAGTCTGCGAGGCGAGCGAAATTGCCGTTTGGACCTGGGTAAGGAGTAAATTCTGAGCCAACCCCTAAGAGCTGGAACTTGAAGCCCAAATCAACTCAAGATATGTGTCCAATTTGGCGACTGGAGGCGACAAAGGGACCTCTTCATCGGCGAAGAGCAACAGTGCAGGGCAGCAGCAGCAACCCGAACATTGACAGTAGCCCCCAGCAGCAACGTCACTAAAATCGGCTCATCAACAGTAAAGGCAGCAGCAACAGCAGCAGTTCTAGCAGGGACAGCAGCAGAGCCAGCGTCAACAGCAGCACGATGAGCATGCGGCGTCAGGTAAGGGAGGCGAAGGCCCTCTTACGCACCAAAATGCTACAAGTTCGCGCCGATCACTTGCTGCAGCTCCAACTTCACCAGAGTAAACTGCAGTCACAGCAGCACGCAGTGGCTGAGGCGGTGGCCATGCAACACTTGGAACGACAGAAGGGACCGCTGCTGGCGCTGCTCCGCTGCTGCTTCCCAGGGAAGATGACGGATCCCCACGATCCCGCACCAGGTGTATATACACTGCAGAACAAGGGAAACCAGCAGTGGCAAGAAGACCGGAATGACAACAAGGCAACGGCAACAGCAAGATTCATTGTAGCGCGGGCTCGCACTCGTCCAGCAACGCGAAATCTTTTGTATGCTTGTGTCTGTCTGCAGCAGATACTGCGTCTGCCTCATTCCCAGAAGTAGCGGCAGCAGCAGGCCTAGCAGCAAAAGCAGCAGCAGGGGCTGCTCCTGCTGGTCCATTGCTGGTCGCAGGTTACAACAGCATTGGTAGTGAATATTGCTGCCTGCCGCTACTAAGGTATTTGTCTCTGTTAGGAGCTGCTGTGTACTTGCCTGTCTGTATGCCTCACGGCCTCCGCATGCAGTTCAGGCAATACGAACCAGGAGAAACGCTGAAGCCAGGAAGAGTAAGGCTGCAGTAGGGCCTGATCTCGAGGCTTTCGAGGCAGGAAAGCGCGTTGGCGCTGGGGTCATCAGGAATATGGGGGCATGTGAATGAGAGATTAGGGCTTTAGTTCCCGCATATGGGTCTAGAATGGGGGCTCATAGACCCGAGCTGCAAACACGGGTCTCCGGCTTGGAGAGAGTTCCAGCCCCTCTTAGGTGTTAGCAGTGTGGTTTACGGGTTTGTGACAAGGTTTAGGAGTTCAGTTTTTGTGCTGTCAAGGTACACGCCTAGTATTTGCAGCACGGCTTGCGGCGTCGATCAAAAACCGACAACCAGGCCTTAATGCGTGGGGCTAGAGCTTGCGGCTTGCGTTTTAGGGTGTGCAACGAAACTGATGGTTCTGAAAGGCATGATGCTCTATTTCCGTCTGTGCACTTTTCCCGAATGTTGACTTGCATTGAGACTTAGAGTGTAGGGTTTGCAAGGGCTGAGGGCTCGCGGACGGGCGTAAATTTTGTCTGTGCAGTTTGGCATCCCAGTACCCTCTGCCTCTCGTCCCCATTTGTCTGTCCCCCCACATCTGCTGCTGCTGCCCCTCGTGGCTTGGAGCCGGCTGGGGGTCCGGCTGGGCTATGGAGGTGGTTACTACGATGCTACTGTCGCTGCAATTAGAGCTGCTGCTGCTTCTGCAGCTCCTGCTGAAAATGGATGCAGGCCTACTGCTGCAGCAACACCTGCTGAGCTGCTCAGCAGGCTTCAGTCAACAGGCTCTCTTTCCGCAGCAGGTGCAGCTGCGGGAGTACAGGATGAGTCGGCAGTAACCGCAAGTGACGCAACAGCAACAGCAGGAGGCTGGAGGGGTCCTCTTGTTTGTGGTTTGTCTTTTAACTGCCAAGAGTTAACCACGGAGGCTCTCCCTCATGAGGACCACGACTGTCTGCTTGACGCTGTAATTTCAGAGCGAGATATATATATATGCAACCCTGAACTTGCTCGCATGATGGAGCAGCAGCAATGCGTAGCGACAAGAGGTCACGAGATACTGAACAGGTTGCCCAGTCTAACAAAAGGTGTTCCTTAGGGGACCCCATGCATTTGGGAAACCCCCTACCACTGCGGCGCACCCCCACGCTGGGTGATGGGTCCAGCGCAGACTGCCTGCTGCTGTTGAATCTCTCGTGATCCTGTGGAGAGAAATCCGTCTCCTGCTGCTGCTTCTGACTTGGTGCTGTTGTCTCCTGCACCAGCAGCAGCTTCATCTGCTGCAGGCACCGCTACTGCGGCTGCTTCAGCCCCTGATTGACCCTGGTCTGTGATCACCTGCAGATACAGACAACACAGCAAAGACGAGTACAGCATGTTTCCGCTTGTACTTATTCGCAGGAATGTCACAATTTATATTTACCCTCTTACAAATATATTACCGTTCTGTCTGCTGAACTGCTGCAGCCACTGCTCCAGCCACCGCTGCAGCCGGCTGAGAAACAGGCATGCATGAGACGTAAAGCAAATGAGCTGGACAAGAGATAAAGAGGCACAGACACGAGGAAGACAGAGACACAAACGAATGGAAGTGGTCGAAGAAAAGGGAGTGTCGGCAGACACAGGTCAGTCACGGAGCCGAACACAAAGGCGAACAATGCGAAAATAACAGATTAGCGACAACAGAACAGCAATGACACAAGAGAGCCGCACCGTGGGTGACTACAATGGGTAAAAAGGGTAGAACGGGGAAGCAACGCGGCAGGAAGAAAGCAAAAGAGATGACAAGCAGAAACTTAACAAGGGTTATGTATAGACAGTGGCACTGGAATACCTGCATCCACTCTGAGAAAGCTGCCGCCATTTCTGTTGCTTCTTCGTGTGAGGGGCTGAGGCGATTGCGTTTATCTCTTGCTGCTTCAGCTGCTGCTCGCAGCTCCTGCTGCTGCTGCTGCCGCTCCGCTGCTGTTGCCCCGGATTGTTGTTCTAGCAGCTGCCACTCAACCTCAGAGCCCGCCCAGTCCGCTGCAGCTGACGGGCCCTCAAAACACAGCTGCTGCTGCTGCTGCTGCTGCAGATACATGTGGATTGAGAATAGATGAAACCCTAAAAACAGCCGCAAACACCAGCATCCCCACAAAGTGTAAATTCTTCACCCGCTTATCGTGGTCCCTTCAGGAGATCACCAATGGATGCAGGCATCAACAGCGACTGCTGCACACACTTGAACCAAGTATCTCTACCCCACACAAAACAGCAGCAGCAAATCTGCAAGCGCACAAAGCCAAGCAGCCGAATACGGAGGAAATGGCACGACAAGTGCAGACTAGTTGCGAGCAGATGTGAACGAAATAAACGGAGCCGTCCACTGGTCTTCAAACCCATCACTGTGCATATATGGACTCTACATGCATGAACCTGCATGCATGCACTTACCACCGCAATTGGCAGGGTCCACAGCCCCAGATGCAGAAGCAAATGGTGGTTCGAAGTCGCTGTCTTCCCTTTCGCACTCCCAAGTGCCCTCCGCTGTGTCCCCAGCGGCCCCGAAAGCCTCCTGAGGGGTCCCGCAAGATGATGCCCCCTCTGGTGGGCCCCCAATGGCCCCCTCGCCTTCCCCTTGGTACTCAAACGGGTTAAATGAACCCCCAGAGGAAGCTCCTAAGGTATCTGGTCCGTTTACCCAAGGGCGAGGAGCCCGCTTGCCTCCTCCCTGATGCTGTGCATGGTGTAGTTGCTGCTGCTGCTGAGGGCTGTACGGCAGTCTGTCGATCCAGAGGCGGCCTCCCCTCCCTCTGCGCCTAATGAAGGTGAAACGGCATTTAGGGGGCCCCTGAGGTCCCTCATCCTCCTGCGCAGAGCCACTATCCGTCTGTGGTGCCGCGGCTCCTGCCGTTGCTGCAGCTGCCTGCTGCTGCGCTGCAGCAGCAGCAAACAGCAACGGCGTAGTGACAGGGACCAGAGACGGAGGCAATGGAGAGGCACCGATAAAGAAGTGCGAAGGCAGCTTCCAGTGTCTGTTGGCTGCAGAAGCAAACAATTCACTCAACACATCCGTTGACTTCTTTACGAATCATGCATCCAGCCGACAGCCTAATACATCTGCGAGCAAGTTCATTCGTCCACTGTTTACTGGTGTTCCGTTCCGCTATCTTGCCATTTGAGTCAGAGACAGAAGATAGCAAGCATATCTAAACAAGAGACGAAAGAGGTGCAGACACGCAAAAGGGAAGGAAATGAACAGGTTGATGTACACAGACACGGGGAACAAAACGGGCGCATTCTACAAAGTCATATAGACAAGCGGATGTCCAGCGTCACATAGGCTACGCAGTAGCCGCAGAGATAAGTTTACCAGCAAAAAACCAAACGAGGGGCAAGAATATGTAAAACCGCAAACGGCGGATCAGTGCTTACCTTTAGGCCTAAGGATAATGGAGGGACTGCTGCTTGCTATCTGTCTCCCCAATTTATCTCGCCTCCCAAACCGTCTCAAGTGAAGCCCTGCGGGGCTGCTGGTGAGTGCCAGCTGCCGTCCCCCAGCTGCCGCTGCTGCTGCAGGTGGGCCGCCCGCCACAGTACCAGCCCCAGCGTGCACCGCAGAGGGCGGACAAGCTGCTGCAGCTGCAGCAGCCGCAATACCCTGGGACAGAGCCTTTCTCTCGTTCCTTTTGTCAGCCCTGCGGGCTCCTGCTGCCTTAATTTTATCTCTCAGCTGCGGCCAAAGGGGATGAGAATAAAGAGGGTCGGTTAACTCAAACCGCTGCTGCTCGAACATCAGACTCCGGACCTGGGTAGACACCAAAATACCTCTCAGCAGCAGCAACGAATACAAGACGCTTGTTTTTAAAACCTCTGTACTGCATCATGTCCCTGATGTTTTAAACTCGAGAGCCAAACGAATGCACCCTGGGCCGCAAAGTGAGCCCTAAGCCTCAGGTCGTCAAGTTTACCTCTAACAGATGTTCCTTCTTTTCGTCGCGAGTCCTCATGCGGCGCAAGACCTTCTCGACAAGCCTGAAGCAGCAACACACTTGAGCAGTTGTTGCTGCCGTTGCTTCTCCTTTTCGTGGAACTGCTGATGACGTTAGTTGTGCTGCTGCTGTTACCTGCAATCATCGAGGAGCTTCTCGGCCCTCAATAGCGAATCCCTGCCGACCCTTTTCTGCTTCCTTAAGGTCATCTTTTCACGGCCCACCTAAGACAATCATATTACGCAGACAGGCAGAACTGGAAAAAAACTGATAAAAAGGAAACCCACACATACAGAGACCAGCCAGTGGTTGAGCTGGCCTTACGCAGCTACAGTAAGACGCTAATGAGACAAAGTAAATTATAGGACGTCTGCCGAAACAAGCAATGAAAAACAGTGCAGCAAACAGAAGACCGAACAATGAGGCACACAATCAGGATGACCGATATGCGCATACCCTAGGCCTGAACACCGCTAGTGGTGAAGTATCCCCCGGTGACGACTGAGGCCACAGGTGGCGCAACAGCGGCTTCTGCAAACGCTGGCGGCGCCGCTGCCAGTGCTGCACGCAGCAGCAGCAGCAAAAGCAGGTCAGACAGTAGCACTGCATGAGTAGCACTGCATGAAGATGCATGCGACAACGCACATGCGACAACGCACGTGGTGCAGCCCGAGCAGCAATCGCAACAGCTCCAGCAGCATGGCCATCACCAAAACGAGCAGTAACAGTCACAGGCAGTCAGCAGCATCCTTAGAAACACGAGCACCTGCAACCATTCCGACCACCCTCACCACTACACTCAGCACCATCACCACTGCCACAATCAGCAGCAGCGACCACAGCAGAATCAGTACAACAGCTTTACCGCATGCACTTGTCTAGAAATGACTGCATGCAATCCCAGCTGCAGCTGATGTGTGGCGATCCTGGCGGCATCATCAGCAGTGACCGACAACTCGCTCCCTCCCCGTGCATGCGCTTCCTTTTCTAAAGCGTCCATTAGTTTGACAAAGGATAAGTCCGACAAAAATAATGACCGGTTGGACAGACAAATAGGGTCCAAGACAAGGCGAAAAGGGCCCGAAGTAGGTGCAGCAGCACCACCAGGCTGTTGCTGCTGCGGGTCCTGCTGCTGCTGTTGCTCGGTTTTTTCAAGGTTTGACGAGTCTGCACCGCCTCCCGCAGAGGCTGCTGCTCCCGCTGCTGCTGGCTGCGCTAGTGATGTATCCGCTTGTTTAGGAGGCACCGCCCCGGGGTCTGCTTGCATATAAATGGGTTTTGGAAGCAGCAAGTTATTCCTATTTACTTTTGCATTCAATTTGTCTATGAACTCTTCGTCCTCCTCAAGCATGTCGTAGTGCACTACGCTGCCGTCAGACAGACGCAAGCCGTTCACCCTGTAGCAATAGCAGCAACCGCAAGCAACAGCAATACGAGCAGCGCCATCACTCCCAGCAGCAACAGCACTATTGCTCCCAATAGCACCAGCAGGTGCAGGAAGAAGACTTCCTACGGTACAGAGTCTTTCTCAGTATGTGAATGCCGTCTGTCTCATCAGCTCTTTCCCACTCATTTCACTAGTTTTCGTTAACTTGTCATCCGCCCTATACTTCAATTTATATATTAGCTGGCCTACACGTCTCGGTGTATCTCTGATCTGATATAATATTCCGGCTGCACGAAGTCAGTTAATTGTATTTGTCTTTTTTCTCTCTGTATTGGAGGCACCGCAATAGATTGCACTCGTTGCTTTTTCGGTGCTGCATGCGACCCTTCATCCACAAACTGAGACGAAGATATGAAACCCAAAGAAACAGGGTCAATGCGCACTCCTTCCTCCTCCTGTACAATAAACAAACAAAATTAACGGATCCTTGTCGCCACCTAGTTGACTGAGAGCTGGAAACAAAGAAGACGGCAGAGACGGAAGACGAAAACGGACGCGCAGACAGAAACACACTAAGTGCGAGAGATACACTGACACTGGAGGAATGAGTCGACGTGAGAGCCACGGGCAAAGGCAGGTGCATCTCCTCCACCTAAATACACTATTTAACGCAGACAGAATGGCTCACAGCGACAACGACAGACAGGCAAATTTGGATTAAAACACAAAACAGACGAACGTCGACTGTGGAGTGGATGCACAAAGGAGACGCTGACAAGAGCAAAGCTTGACGAGGTGCTCGCCGGCTAGGCCAAGGGAAGACAGGCAAAAACAAAGGACACAGGCAGGCGAGCGAGTGCAATTGTAAATCCAAGCCAAAAACTGCAGAAACCCAACTCTGAAAGCCCGAGCCTAAACCCTGAGTCCTTACAGCAAGCACTTCAAGGTCCTTCGCTGATCTAACAATAAATAAGGGTTTAGAGCCATCGACCGGCCGAGTGCGCAGTTGGCGCTGTGGGGCCGACTGAAGGGGAGGAGCAGAGGCTGCGCCCTTGGAATGCGCCGTCTGCGCGTATGCCATCTTCTGCTATTGGCAGACTCGCTCCCGCGCTACTGGAGATAGTGACAATGCTGCAAACTGCTGCTTTTACTTTTGTCACTACAAGAGGAGGGATGGTGCTTCTATAGCAGCTGAAACATGGCGGATGCAGCTCCTCTTGGTGCTGCTGGCGCTGTTGCTGGAGCTGCTGCTGGCGCTGCTACTGGCGATGCTGCCTGCGTTGCTGCTGGTGCTGCTGCTGGCGCTGCTTCCGGCGCTGCTGCAAGAGCTGGAGTTGCCGCTGCTATGCTTAAGTTGCCGCTGCTATAATTTCTGCCGCTGAGTCTAGTGCTCCTCCGGCATTCTGCTGCTGCTGCACTGCGACGCCACGAGGGGCCCCCCACCCTTCTAAGAGATGCAGGGGGCCCCTCAGTAAGTAACAGAACCCCAGGCAAGTACAGTGGGGTTGTTTCTAGGGCCGGAGTGCTGCTGCTCTTTCGCCGCCGCTAACTGGCGCAAATCTTGAGGTGCACATGCACCTCAACTATGGCACCGTGTGCTGCTGCGCTTGAGAATAGCATGAGTTGAGGTGTATGTAAACCTGAGCTCACACAGTGAAGGCGCGCAGCTCTCCCTTAACATGAAACGTGGTGGCACTGTTGCTTCGCCAGCTTCGCTGCTCTCGCAGGTGCTCCTCCCGCTGCTGCAGCTCCTGTGGGGAATGCTACGAGACAGAACCACGGGCGAACGAAAACATCGGCCTTTTCCTTGTCTTTTCGAATAACTATTCCGTCTTGCGGGCAGTCTTCACCTGGGAGGCCAGCAGCAGCTGTTGCTCCTGCTGCTCTTGCTGTTGTTGCTGCTCGGGCCTTTGCCTGCTGCTGATCCCGTCCCGGCGTTCACTGACTTTCTTTCCTGCTATTCGCCTTTCAGAGATACAAATACGCGTAATAAAAAGATGAAGCATTCTAAGTCGCCTAATGAATAGACTAAGAGAAGTAGTGGCGGCAGCACCGCCTGAGGCGTGCATGCGTTTTGTTGCGAAAGACTTATATACTTGTCCCACTTGTGTGTCATGACAAAAAATTAGGTACAATTATTACATGTCAAATGCTTGATTTCATTTTATCTTGTTTTACTAAACTTCATGTCTGCCAAGGTCACAATGCAACGTTCGCATGCAAGCACCTACCCAAAGTGACGGAAGCAACTGACTAATATATTGAAAATCAAGTATAATTTGGACGGCAGTAAGATTGAATATTTACAGGGCCACTTCATGCCTCTCCGGAATGCCCTTCAGCAGGGCTACCTTGTGAGGTACTTTCCTGCTGCTCGGGATGGCCTATGACGTGAGCAGGAAAGAACGAAGCTTGAGCCCAGAAAAACGCAGAAGCCACTCAGCTAATGTGTCCTAGTTCAGTCCCTTGTCAGGGCACTACTGGGGAGTGTTTGTCCATCGACGGTGCTACCGGCCCTCCATGGGCGACTAAACCCCCCAAATATTCCTTGCGTAGTTGCTTATCCTACTGTAGATGTAGTATCATGGCACAGTTTAAGCGCAGGGTGAAGCTAAACGCTCCTGCAAGAAGCAACACGTAAAGGAAGTGACAAAATGGTACAACGCTGTACACAGCCCGGAATGGCGGGTACTTACTTGCTGCCTTAACTTCGATATTCAGAGGGCTGCAGAGTGTCAAGAACTGCACCTTCAGTGAACTTTCAACTCTGACGCTCCTCCCGATACCAGTAGCATCCGAGAAGTGCCTATGCAAGAAAAGCACCTGATGTTTGCTAAGCTTGTGGTCTATACCTGAAGCTAAACGCTCCTGCAAGAAGCAACACGTAAAGGAAGTGACAAAATGGTACAACGCTGTACACAGCCCGGAATGGCGGGTACTTACTTGCTGCCTTAACTTCGATATTCAGAGGGCTGCAGAGTGTCAAGAACTGCACCTTCAGTGAACTTTCAACTCTGACGCTCCTCCCGATACCAGTAGCATCCGAGAAGTGCCTATGCAAGAAAAGCACCTGATGTTTGCTAAGCTTGTGGTCTATACCAACCGCTGCTACCTGGAGTCACACCGTGCGCAAGCACCGTTCCGTGAGCCTCTGGCTTCGAGTGGACACCTGGTGCCAGTTGTCTGTGCCACGTGCCAGGTGTCAGAATGTTTTGAAGATCTATGTGTGTGAAGATCTATGTGTGTGTGTGTGTGTGTGTGTGTGTGTGTGTGTGTGTGTGTGTGTGTGTGTATGTGTGTGTGTGTGTGTGTCTGTGCGTGCGTGATGTGTAAGTATGGTTCTGCCGATACTTTGGGGCCTTGAAGCTTATTACTTACTTGTACTTGTGCCCTTCGCTTATGTGTCTGCTCATGTGCTCTGAAGTTCGTTCCCGTGAACGCCCCAATAAGAATCACCGAAAAACGGAAAAAACGCGTGCGGAAAACACCTTTCGTTTTCATTATGAACGAGCAGGCTATCCGCACGGCAAACTAGTATGTCTGCAAAGTGTCCCGTAACAACTTCAGCAGCAGCAGCAGAAATACTACAACAGTTTTAGTCCTGCTGCTCCTTCTTAGCATAATTTCTGGATATATCTTCCGCGGTTTTATCCCGCTGAGGCAACTGCTGCATCTTGTGCTGGTGCTTGTGCTGCTGTTGGATCTTCTGTTCCCCTCTCTTCTCCCAAATTGTTCTTTCACGCACAAGCTTCTCATAGAGTCTTCTAAATGCTGCTGCCTCGGAAGCCGCGGGGGATTTTGAGGCTTTTCCTGCAGTAAGCCGTTGGTAAGCCTCTAAGCAGAGCTCCTCTGCCTCTGCATATCGGCGAAGGCCCCCTAGTGCCTTTGCCTTTCTGTAGGTTCCTTTGCTACTGGAAGGAGACAGAGATAGGACCTGAAGGCCACACAGAAAGAAGCAGGAAAGGCTGCTGCTGCTGATGCAGCTCTCACGGGGGGTGGTCGTGAAGGCAGTGAGAGTGCTGTTGCGGTGCGTGCTGCTGATACTGTTGCTGGTGCTGCGACAAAGCACCGCTGCAGCAGCACCAGCCAACACCAGCAAGAGCGGGACCACCGGCATCAGCGTGCCTCGTCTGAGCAAGTAAGGGCTTCTTCCCATCTCCGCAGCCGCAGCAGCGCGAGGGTCTTATTCAGTGTGAGTGCTTTAAAAGCCCACAGCTCCGTGGGCTCCTCATGCGGAGGACATCCCAGAGCTGCAATTGCCTGAATGGCACGTATACAGAAAACGCACACAAGAAAGCTTCTGAGACTAAGCCTGTCACTGAACGCTTTCAACCGTGGACCCTGGCGTACTCGCTGGTAGAGTCTGAGAGCCGCATGCGTCTGCCCTTTCTCGAGTTTTTCGTTTGCTTCCTTTCGCAGCACTTGACTTTGTAACAGCCTGCTGCTGCTGCTGCTGCAGCTGCCCGTCTGTGGTGGGGAAGCAGACACAACTCTCAGACCCTTAAAATACAGAGGCTTCCCTAGCAGCAAAGGCGAAGCCAGAGCAGAAAAAATGGCCCGAGCATGATCCCCACTATCTCTGGAGCTAGAAGATAGGGGACTTTCGAAATGGGAGATTCCCTCCAGGCTGCCACAACCCCATAGAGGCCCCACCCACAAATCCACAGGGGGCCCTTGGACTAGAGGGCTCCTAACAAATACATCGACTGCAGGGCAGAGTGGTTTCCCCTCCCCCAGAGTATACTTATAGGTAAAGACAGCACGGTTGTCTGAAGTAGCAAGAAGCTCTCTCATTGGGCCCCTCTTTGACGCTCGCAGTCCTGCAGTGGCGGAAGGGAAGCTCAGAGGAGTGCCATCCTGATGAACAGCGAGGGGAGGCGGGAAATGTAGACACATAAGCGGACAGAACTAAGTTATAGTACACATGGAGAGGCAGACAGCAACAGAGACAGGCATAAGCAGAACTGAGAAGTAGGCAAGAGACACAGAAGAGGCACAGACAGAAACATATTGCGCGAAACAGAAACAGAGAGAAAGCTGGACAGCAACAAGTGTAAAAGGCGCAGCATGTTGGCCATGTAGGGTGCCTGCACATTAGCTGTATCAGACACACCGAATCATCTCTTAGTGCCCAGCTGAAAGCTGCAGGAGCAGCAGCAGCAGCCGCAGTAACTATAGCATCCGAAAATCCAGCACACTCATCAGGAGTAGGAACAGGCGAACACACCTGTAGAGACAAAGAAAACTGAAGTGTCACCTCCCACAAGTCCTCTGGAAGGGCTCCGCAGCTAACGCTGCCAGGGTCATACCAGGATCCCCCTGAAATCCCTCCTGAAGGCCCTCCAACGAGCCCTGTCTGTTGCGCGAAGAAGGCGCAGGGGGTTGAGAAGATTTTTTTGGATGTTCGACTGGCCCTAGCCCTCTGTCGTTCCCTGCAAATCCTGCAGGTATTGTTGCTAATGCTGGGTCTTCTGTCGCTGCTCGCATTACTGCTGTTGATTTCGCCGGTGCAGCTGCTGCTCATGTTGCTGGTACCGCATGCGTCGGAGTCTGGATCGTCAGCTCCGCTGAACGCCTCTTCGCTGCTGCAACAACAGCAACGCGGCTCTCCTCCACCAGGAGCAGCAGTTCCAGAAGCAGCAGTAGCTACTTCTTCTGCTAGTGAAAGCCGTCTCTGCCTCTTCGGTGCGGGGGGGAACAGGAGCCTGCGATAAAGGCTTCTATAGAGAGGAAGAGGGACGTAGAGCGGCTTCATTGAAGTTTGGTAATGAAGGCGCACGCGCAGCAACAAATATACCATGTCTGCTGCTGCTGTGGCCAATGATGCAGTCGCCAACGCTCGGATTGCATCTGCTGCCCCTGGTGGTGCTGCTGCTGAGGTGGCTGAAGCGGTTGCTTCTGCGTCCAATCTGGTACCAGTTGCTGCTGCTGGTGGTATTACTGCTGCTCTTTTTTCTGCAAGTCTTACTGCCGCTGGTTCCGCTGCTGCTGGTTTACGGGAGTTCTTCGCTGAACTTCCTTGCAAAAGCACATCAGGAGGGGCCGTTCTAGCATCCATCAGGAGCAGCACTTCTTCGCCTA